TAATCTGTCCATTCCCGTTAATGTGAATATGTGATCATATTTCCTTGTTATTTTGTTCGAAATGTAACACGTAATAATTATCTATTTCAATCAGATGAAACATTCGCTTATCGAAAGTTAATTTGACTAAACTTTAAAGTTAAATTGAATTATTTCAACTCAATTTTTTAAAATTAAAATTTAGATATTCAAAAAAGACTATATGAAAAATACTATAAGTTACAATTTTCTCAAGTCAATATGATAAAAACAATACATTTTAGAATGTTGGTCAAATTTCATATAATTTTATTCTCAATAAGCGAAATGTGTCATGTAAATTAAAACGTAGTAAATGTTTAAATACATATATTATATTTAAGTTAAACTTATATACTATATTCAATTGAACTCATAGCTTTGATTGTGCATCGACCCGTGTCTGCTAGGCTAGCTTCAAACTTCATATAGTTTTACTCTCAATAAGCGAAATGTATCATGTAAATTAAAACGAATGGAGTATATATTTAGTAAATGTTTAAATACATATACAATATTTAAGTTAAGCTTATATACTATATTCGATTGAACCCATAACTTTAATTGTGCATTGGCTCGTGTCTGCTTGGGCTAGCTTCAATGACAGCATATATGTATCGATCAGTATATGGCATCTTTTTTTTGGTCAATGGAAAATTTTATATATATATATATATATATTACATGCCAAATTGGGGGTATTGCAGTTTCCCTAAAACAGCCATATTTTGTTCAATTGTATCAATATTATATGCCAAAAAATTTCTAACTACTTTAGTTCCTAGGATATCTGCCTAAAATACATCATTGCAAACATCGGAGGAACTGCTAGCATAGTAGTTCCACCCAAAAAAATTGAATTTGTTGTCTCCTTTGCCAGTGCATCAGCCACTCTATTCTATTTCCTATAGTTGTGCCTCACCACCACCTTGTCCATCCTTTGTATCAATAACCTCCATTCACAAATCATAGGATCATAAGTTATATTGCATGTGAGTAGCATTTTTATTATGTCAGTAGAATCTGTAGCTATGTCTAGAGGAATCAATCCTTTTTGTTGAACTATTTGGAGACCCTTTAGCAGTGATTTTAGTTCTGCCATGGTGTTGGTGGTGTGTGGTATATTTTCCATATACCCCATAATCGAGTCATCATTATAGTTCCTGAATACCCCACTAATTCCCCCAATGTCTGGGTTGCCCTTGGCATCCCCGCCCATGTTGAGTTTATAGTACCCCTCATGGGGGGCTCCCATTTAACTCTGGTATGGAATGGTTGGCTTCCTGATAACACCTTTTTGTGCCAACATATAGTACTCTGTTGATTTGGATATGGTATTTTTTTGCTGAGATGTGATCTTTCTTGTTGTTGAAAAGGTTATGGTTTGTTGCTAGCCAGATGTGCCAAAAGCAAAAAGGAAGGATATTTTCTCAAGGGATAATGTTATTAAAGCATAACTTCTTTAGCTTGTTCTAGGTTGTTGACCAAAGCTGTGCTGAGAAGATGGGATTCAAATGCTGGCTTTCAGTAGTTCCCTTGGCTAATATTTCATGCTAGGATTGGATTGCATTGGGGCATTCAAAGAAGATGTGGTCACTGGTTGCAGGTATAGTTGAGCAAAAACAGCGTTGAGGGTTGCAATTAACCCCAATTTTGTGCAGGAAAACTCCAGTGGGCAGCCTGTCTTGAGAAAGTAGCCATTTGAAGTTCTTTATTTTGTTAGAAACTTTTAACTTCCAAATTCAATTGAAGTTACCTCCCTACTCTTTCAACAAATTCTCATTATTATTGCTAAGGAAGGTATAGGCTGATTTGGTGGTGAAAGACTTGTTTGGAGTCAACCCCCAAATTAGCCTGTCTTTCTTGGCAGAGTTAGTAGGGATGAAGGCTGATTTTATGTCATGGATGTCTATGGAAATGGATGAGGTATCCTAGTTCCAAGAATTGTAGATAGTGTCCACTTTGGCAGCTGTATTATTTGGGGTTAATAGACCCTCAATCATATCCCTAGTTGCTAGTTGGTCTGGGATCTAGGCATCATTGATGAAGCTCGCCCTATTTCCCTTATGGATAACCTATTTATTGGCCTTGTTATATGTATCCCGGCCTTTGAGAATACATTGCCAGGTTGGAGATTTGGGCTTCTTGGGGGTATGGTTCCAGTTATAGTGTTTAGCTATTAGGACTCTAGCCCGTAAACTGGAGGTGTTATGGTAAATCCTCCAGGCCAGCCCAGCATGGGAGGATTTATTCTTATACTCGGCTTTCTGCAAACCCAACCCACTATGTGACTTCTTCCTAGTGACTTTGTCCCAGCTAACCGGGTGCATTCTTTTCTTGTTTGGAGTAGTGCCCTAGATAAAATTCCTCTAAATTATATCAACTTGGTTTGAAGTCTTGGTGGACAATTTTATGTATTGTATAACATGGCTTGGGATGCTGCTGAGGGAGGCTTTGGCAAGGATGATTCTTTCAGTCATATTTAGATAATTTGTTTTTCAGCCAACTAGTTTGGATTGTATATTGCCTAGTATGAATTGGAAGTCACTATTAGTGGGTCTTTTATGAAATATGGGGAACCCTAGGTACTTCTCAAAGGATGTAGTAGATTGGATTAAAAGGGTATTTATAAGGCATTATATTGTATCAAGCTTTGTATTAGAGGAGAAGAGAACACTAGACTTGGTGAGATTGATATTTTGCCCAGAAGCCTCATTGAAGGACTGCAACATGGAGTAGATTGTGTTACAGTTCCTAATGTTTACTTTTGCAAACTATGTAAGGTCATCAGCAAAGAAGAGATAAGAATTTGAGCCAGACCTACTGATACTGATAGGGAGCCATTATTTTTCCTGGACAACTTATCAATTGACTAGGAGAACCTCTTCATGCACAGAATGACCAAGTAAGGAGAGATTGGGTCCCTTTGCCTGATACCCCTAGAATTGTCAGTTTTACCACTATTCACTAGGATGGAGATGTTTGATGAGCTAATGCACGATAGGATTAACTTAGTTGGCCTAGGAAGGAAGTTGAAGGCATGCAGTATGTCTTTAATGAAGGACCACTCCAGTCTGTCAAAAGCTTTCTCTAATTCAATTTTGAGAATCATATGATCCTAGTTCCCTTTTATTTTTTCAAAATGGGTGATGTATTCTTAGACAATGATGGCATTGTCTGAGGCCCTTCTATTAGATAGGAAACTGGCCTGGCTAGGGCCAATTATAGCAGGGAGAAGGGGCTTGATCCTATTGATAATGATCTTAGTGATGGACCTGTAAATGATGTTACAAAGCCCTATTGGTCTGAAGTTTTTTATCATAGTGGATTGGGGATACTTAGGGACGAGACAAAGGAGAGTTTGGTTCATGGACTCATCCATGGAGTGTGTGTGTCAAAACATTACTTGCAGAGGTCAACTACTGAATTCCCCATAATGCTCCAGTACCTTTAGTAAAAGAATAGGTGAAGCCCATCAGAGCCAGGAACCTTGAAATGTTTGAAGGAGAAGATAGCCATTTTGATTTCTCTATCCTCTATAGGCCTATCCAAGCTATCCCTTTGACAGTCTGAGAAGATATAGGTCATGTCTAGATGGTTGGTAGTGAAGTGGGTGCTTGGGTATAGGAGGAAATGTAGAGGCTCCTGAAGAAGTGCATTATAGAGGCCTTAATGTCCCCTTGGTCATAGAGCCAGTCTCCACTATCCTATTTGACAGACAAGATCTTGTTCCTTCTTCTCATATTGAGGGTGGAGGTATGAAAAAATCTAGTGTTGGCATCACCTTCAGATATCCAACTGACCCTTGACTTGATTTTCCCGAAGTCTTCCTCATTTTTTTAGGATGGAGTCAAGTTCCCTGGTCAGGTTACTTTCTAGATTCAGTAGGAAATTGATGAACTGGTAATTAGGTGATTTTTGGATCCAAGCAATTCGGGCCAGGATCCTTCTCTTTTTGTGGAAGATGTTACTAAATGTATGCATGTTCCACTAGGTCACAAGGCTTTTGAAGGTGTTTGTTGATAGGATTAGGGGGAGTTATTGGTGAAGGCGGGTGGCTACATTGATTCAAAACTGAAGGGTCTGTTAGAATTATTGAAAGAATCCCCTTCAACATTGTTTGAACAGGGTAATGATTTGAGTATGTCCTAGAGAGATGGTTAGCACTAGCCTCAGGGTACTGAGAAATCCAGTAGTCGTTAGTAAAGTACCTATCTATCCTTTCTAAGGTTAGACTACTCCTATTTTTGTATCTTTTGTTAGTTCAGTTGTACTTACTGCCTTTGTAACCTAAGTCAACTAGCCTGCATTCATTGAGGCAGTTCCAAAAGAGGTTGCTACGGTTTGAGTTAGTGGGGTTACCCCTAAACTTATCCCTAGCTTTTATGACTTTATTGAAGTCTCCACCTACAAACCAGTTCCCAGTATTACTTTTAAAGATAGTAACAAGACTATCCCATAGCAATTTCCTATCAGCTAATATGTTGCTAGTATAAATGGCTGAAAATAACCAAAGAGTATGGGATGGGAATACCTTCACCACAGCATGGATACCTTGAGGTGTAGTAGATACCTCATCAACGGTGATGCAATCCTACCAAAAAACCCTATTTCTAGAGACTGGATAACCATATCGAAGTGCAGCTCTTCAGTTAGTTTCTTATGGTCAGCCATCTTAGTTTCTAACAGGACCAGCATTGTTGGCTTATGAAGCTGCACCATCTCAAGGCAGTGTCTCCTGAAATCCATACTATTTCCACCCCTAACATTCCATATGATGTAGTTCATCAGGGGTGGTTGGCGGTTGGGGGACGGGTTTCTGTTAGACTTCTCCATCCCCTCAGGAGACCTCACTAGTTTCCTTTGCTTCATGTTCTTCCTACTTAGTAATAGGGACAGATTAAGGAGTGGTTTGGTCACACCCTGGCTGTGGTGAGAGACCAGGCTCAGACCACACTTGGTCAGGGCCCTGGGACACAGCATCACAAGGACCTTGCTCTCTCTACACTGAACTCGATTGCTCTAACTGAGTCCCGTACAAGAGAGTCTGTGCGTAGAGGGTCGTAGGGTGTTCCCTCCATTTCCGGTGGGCATTTCCTTTTCAGAAGGTCCAGAGCTTTGTTGATCTCCCTTGTAATATTTCCTAGTGGTGCGACTGGTTCTTCTTTACTGGAGCAGAAGGTGATAGAGTTTGATAGGATTGGGGTTCGATAGTCACAAATACTAGAGATGTTGTTGGGTCCTTCGTTACTGGGTCTAGGAAGAAGGGGATTGATTAGAATGCTTGGGAGATGAGGGTGTTGATTATTGGTGGGTCTAAATTGGGTTGCATGTTGTTGTTGCTTATCATCGCCTGCCATAGGCTTGGGCCAAAGGCTGCCAATGCCCTGTTTAGGGCCTCCACTAGAACCCTCACCAGATGCACAAGGTTTTAAACAATCAGGGTTACAGGTTGATTTTCCAGGGTGAAATTGTAAGCTAGGCCTTGTACTTGAAGTGCCACTTCCAGCCACGATATCGGTGAGTGTTCTGGTGGCAGTGGAAGAGATGTCACAATGGTGGGTGGCGGATGGGTGATAAGTGGGAATTTTGACTACTTATTAGCGCCTTTTTACTTTCGTTTTAGTCCAAAAGTGTTTAATTGTATTCCCAAAAACTGATGAAATATGCTTAATTGTAGGAGTATTGGAAAATGAGCCACTAAGATGAAATCCAACTCAAGAAGGAGTGATTTGAACTCAAGGACAAAAATCAGGCACAAAGGCTTAAAGTGCGTGCGGACCGCACAATTAATGTGCGGCCGCAGAAGCTATACAAGAGCCAAAGTTCAGAGAGTCATCAAATTCAAGCTTCAAGGAAATGCGGACCGCACAATTATTATGCGGCCGCAGAACCTCCAAAAGGTCATTTTTGTTCGAAAATTTCAGCTTTGTATATATAGACTAGTTTCACGAATTTAAGTCAATTTTTGAATATTGAAAGTTCTGTAGCCGTTTTTCCTTACTTATTTAGGCAACTTTATATTACTTTGGTGATTTAACATTGGATTTTTATCTTTTTAATCTTTCAATATGAGTTTAATCATCTTTTCTTCTCTATTTTCTTCTATACTCATTATGAGTAGCTAGATCTCTAACTAGGGTTGTGACCCAACCCTAGTGTGTGAACGTAATGGCTGTTTAATTTATGGCTTGTTTATGATTGGGTGTTTATTATTTAGCCTTTTTCTTACTTTTAATTGTAGAATTAATGGTTACAAATACTAGTTCATGCCTATTTGACTTGGTCTCTACTTGAGAAAGAGAGACTTAGTCTAGGAAAACTTCTCTAACAAGAATTTGGGATTAAATCAAGAGATTGATAGTCCCAATTAAATAGTTGAACCTAGAGGTAGTAAAATCCGACTTGAGCATTTTATCAACTGTTTGGTTCAATACCCATTTGAACTTGAGAAAGCCAGATTGGGTAAAATCACTCTCTTACCGAGAGGTATTGAGTGGGTACTTGAGTGTTGATAGCTATAATACACCTGACCAACAAAACAAGTTTTAAAATTTACAACCCGTTAGGCAAACACCTAGGTGAAGGTCATAGCCCTAGGCCTTTTACATTATTTGAAAAATATCCTAAAACAATATTCTCTAGTTTTACATATTTAGAATTGTAATCCTTAGCGTAACTTTAGAAGTAAAAACAAAACCATATTTGTGGAAGTGCAATCTAGTTACTTCACGTGCTCTATCCAAATATATACTACTAATTCTTATCTCAGCTTCATGTGAATTCGATCCCGACTTCTTGTTGGGTATTATTATTGTAATCGACTGCTTCATAACCTCAAATAGAGGTGTGACTTGGACGAGATCAATGGATTTTTTCTATTTTTGTGTTTTTTTATTTTTCCTTTTTGGGTAAGGGTGGGGTTAAGTTCTCAGCTAGTCCGTAATTTGTTGAATAATAGCAGCCGGTTGAGATATTGGGTTTTCTAATTTACTTATATTGCCTTTCTTCCAGAGTTTCCAAACAGAAAAAATAGTAAGCATAGACATGACGTAGCCAACTTGGGATTTCCTGTGAGATCTGTTAAACCGCCAGGACTGAATGGAATCCGTTCCGGAATTCCTCTATGAATCTATCAAAGGTACAAAAAAGAAAGAAAAACACAAAGAAAAGAATAGGCTAGGCATAAATCGATATGTTGTAATTGAAATCAAAAATAAATAAGATAGTTGACTTATAATGGTGTAGTTTGGTGTCAAATCTTGTTCAGTGGAAAGGTCATCAGTTATTGCATCTGGAAAATTGAATTTGGAATTAATGTGGTATCTGTTGGAGTGGACGGAAGGTGTCATGTCACCTGAGATTGGGTGGATTCTCAGGTGAGTCACTTGAGTGTTCATAGAGTATGGTGAGTTTTTCCCCATTAGAATACTCCGCTAGGAGGGGAGTAGGGGGCACGTAGGTATTTGGGCAGGGATAATTATTTCGGCTAGGTAGTTCTAATTAGGTACGGACCCTATTGGTTGATTGGATAGTGTCGTGGTAGCCCAAGGACACATCCCTAGCTGGGTATAGGTTTTGGGTTGGGCTATTGATAGGGGCCTCCTAATAGGCATCATTAACGGGCCCATCTAGTTTTTCGATATCAGCTCAATCGGGCCTCATTCTTGCCTCGGTTTGGCGCTGTGCTTGGGTTGGGGCCTTGTGTGTTAGGCTGCTGGGGAGTAGGGGTGAGAGTTTGTTTATTCATAGGGCCCTGGGCCTGTTGTAATTCTTGGACTGCATATTACTGGACTTTGAATTACATTGAAAAGTTTTGGTTTCCAGAAACTTACCAGAGTTTGCATCGAACATCTTTACATGGATCTTTTGTGTTTTTTGTGCATTTTGTTGATCACTTTCATTTTCGATATTCCTTCCCTTTGTAGGTTGTTGGCTTATTTTATTTAGTCTAAGGAAAGTGATTGTCTTCCATCCATCGGCATCACCCTCTTTGGTGTGTATTCTTGAATTTTCAGGGGCTTCTTGTGATGGCGATGGTTGAAATTTTTTGAATTTGCAATTTTTGGTTGTGTGGCCAATTCTTCCACATGTTGTACATAACGTACTTTCACCTTCATAAATCACTGCTTGCTTGTGATCACCTAAGATTACTGATGTTTCCACTGAGGTTTCAAGCGGTACTTGAATACAGATGTGTGCATACCTTCCTCTCAATGTGGAAGATGTGCATGAGTCGATTTTGAGTAGTTTACCAAGTTTTCTACCAACTTTTTCAGTATTTCTTTATCATAGAATTCTGTTGTTAGTTGGGATAGGTGAATCCATATGGTTGTGGAAGATACTGTATCTTCTTGTGGAATGAATTTTGGTTCCCATTTACGCACTGATAGAAATTTCCAGAGACGAACCATGGCCCTAGGTGTAGTGCCTTAGCCATATTTTCCTCTAGACCAAATTTCATAATAAAGACGTCTCATCCAAAGTCAATCAAGATTAATTGATCGGATGATTTCCATAGGTCAATCAGTTTAGATTGAAGGTAATGGTGAGACATTCTACGACCAAAGACCTTTATGATTACTGAAAAGCGTCATGGTTGGTATAGGCGTTTCTTTTCTTCTTTAGAGAAGGCAATTGAGCCTTCAATACTTTCTCCTTTATCATCTTTGATGATTTGGGAGGGGGGAATCCTCATCGTAATACTCTATTTGGCTTACTGGGCCTGCTTGTCGAGTAACATTTCCTTGTAGGAATGTATTGTTGTTTCTTCCACGTCCATTTGATTATTTTTGTTCGGTGGTATAATCAGCGGTTTAGTGATTGTGTCCATGCAGGTATTCTTAGAGAGAAGGGAGAGAATCTTAGAGTTAGGTTGTCAAATTTTACCCCGAACGAAAAGTGTGTATTATATGGCATCAATTTCGTGGTGATGATTGTATGGGCTAAAAATTACCATACTTATATGTGGGCTTAATCGATATTAAGAAAGTCTTTGGAAGCCGCCACGTTTTATCAATTTGGTTTCAACAAAGGACAAAGGCGAGTTCGAGGAGTCAACAGAGATCGAGGTCGAGGACGAGCACTCTTCTTAACGGGGCAATAACGGCTAATTTTAGAGATAAGACTTTAAAGAGAATATTCTAGTGAATATTTCTGGAATATGTACTATTAGGGTTTTGTAACTCATGTTCCCTTATAAATAGAAAGATATGCAGTTATAGAGGTGGATTGGACATTTATTGTAAAAGAACAACATTTTGACATTCTCTAAAGATTCTTGCTTTATATACATACAATATATATCTTTTCCTCAGATCTGATTTTAACTTTTCTCCCACGATCTAAGAAGAATACGAATTTTCAAAGGTTCATCAATCACCTATCATCGTAAGGAGGAATATCACCGAATTCAACTCTTTTTCGGTTATCTCACTTGCATTTATTTAGTTAAATGCCATTATATTCATAATTACTATTGAATGATGTCTTCTTTGTTCTTGGCCTATTATATACTGTTGTTGTTACACGTTTATTGTTATTTGACGGAACTTAGTGACATTTTGCCACGAAATCAGTTAAACGAACTTTTGGATATTTATATTGGCTAAGATTAACTTTATTCTATTAGAAAATTTAATTGTTTAAATCTACATCTAAATTTTGGGTCAGAAATGAGTTGTTGAGGATTTGTCGGAATATATATATGGAGAAAAGTAAACAAGTTAGTATATATGAGCATTATTTTTGTCGAATTAAATTTGGAAAACTACAGGCTAATTAATCTGTTACTGAACAAAAAGTCACGTTCCTTAGATTGGTACTTTGGATAGATCTGGTGGCTAATTAATCTATCATGCCCCGGTGTTTAATACACCTATGTCCCCAAAAAAATGATATTTTTCTAATTTCAAGAGTTAAACTATATAACTTTCACCATGAATTTGGTTATAAAATCTTTAATTTTTAAAAATATAAGTTATATATTTAGAAATTACCTAAAAATATCATAAGTCAGCCACTACAATTTCTACCACAGTTTCTGCCCTTCGGGTGAGCACTCAGTGCGCACTGGGTAAACCTTTCTTGTGAATAGCCTGCAAACCACACAGGGGATGCAAACCGCACTAAGCAAGCCCTATGTGAATCCTTATATACTATATTCAGTTGAACCCATAGCTTTTTTTTTTGTAAGAGGGGAAACCCGCAACCGCTACAACTTCTGCCACAGCCTCTGCCCTTCGAGTGAGCTATTTGTGCGCACTGGATAAACCTTCCATGTGTAATAGCTTGCAAACCGCACTAAGCAAGCTATGCGTGACAGGCTCTACCAAGAAGGCATTGAGGGGGGATTCGATCTAAGGTCATCCACATGGATTACCACCCTCCAAATCAACTGGGTAACTTCGAAAGGTTAAACCTATAGGTGTTAAACGGGTGAGCCGGGCCGGGCCACTTTTTTTGGGACCCGTACGGGTTACGGGCCGGGCCGGGTTGATTCTTAACGGATTTAACGGGTTCGGGTTCAT